GGGGGGGCCGGGCTGGGCGCGCGGGGGCTGGGGAGCCCCTGGCGCCACGTGCCCGCCGCCTGGCGCGTCCTGCTGGGCATCAGGGACGAGGGTGGCGGGCGGAGGGCATGGCGGGGGCCCGGGTCGCGTGGGCAGAGCGGGACGCAATGCTGGCACCCGAGGGGCGCGCTGCTATTGTCATTTTTTTTCCCACCCCCCCAGGATGAACTTGCATCCTTTTTCTTCTCCGCCATGGAATTCTGCTCCGTGCTTTTAGTCCTCCAGAGCCAAAGACACCCCAGACAACAGATGCCCATACGCAGCGTATAGCAGTAACTCCCAGCTCGGTTTTCGTGCCGTAGTTTACAGTATTTAATTTTATATAATATATATTATTTATTATAGCATTATTCGATACCTCATATTCTGTTTACACATCTTGAAAGTCGCTCAGTAATTCTCTTATTAAAAAACCACTAATCTAGAGAGTGGCCTCTACCATGGCAACGCTCGTCGCCAGTGCTGTAGCTGCTACTGCTGCTTCTGGGGTGGACTACCTATGGATGCTCATCCTGGGCTTCATTATTGCATTCGTCTTGGCATTTTCCGTGGGAGCCAATGATGTAGCAAATTCGTTTGGTACAGCTGTGGGCTCAGGTGTCGTGACCCTGAAGCAAGCCTGCATCCTTGCTAGCATCTTTGAAACAGTGGGCTCGGTCTTACTGGGGGCCAAAGTGAGTGAAACAATCCGGAAGGGCTTGATTGACGTAGAGATGTACAACTGCACCCAGGCGCTGCTGATGGCCGGCTCCGTCAGTGCTATGTTTGGTAAGTTTTTATGTATTATCCTCTTGGTGGTGGGTGAACAAATGTGTATCATGGATGGTTCCATTTTTCTGGTGAACCTTTTCAGATTATTTCCTTCAGAAGACACTGCTTACATAATAGAATTTTGCCATTCACTTAATTAAAGCTTGACTGTGTTTTAGGTTCTGCTGTGTGGCAACTAGTGGCTTCGTTTTTGAAGCTCCCCATTTCTGGGACCCATTGTATCGTTGGTGCAACCATTGGTTTCTCCCTCGTGGCACATGGGCAGAAGGGTGTCAAGTGGTCTGAACTGATCAAAATTGGTATGTTTAATTCTGAATGGCTTCTTAACTTTTATTCTCGTTATAGGTTACTGTGGCATTATGTATGGGAGTATATGGTGTAAAATGGCAGGACAGACTTAAGAGTTTTGCAAATAGAAAGTTAACAACGTGTTTTTTGGTTCCTGGTTTTCATTAGTTGACGTTTTTCTCACTCTGTTCTGTTCCAGTGCTGTCTTGGTTCGTCTCTCCACTGCTTTCTGGTATCATGTCTGGAATTTTATTCTTCCTTGTTCGTGCATTCATCCTCCGTAAGGTAATCTGCCCTCTGTTAATGACCTTTCATAGGCAACACTATTGAATTCAGATCCAGTGGCCTTCTTGCTGATGTGATTGGTGTGTAGATATATGGGCTTGGAAAGTTAAAAAAGTTCTCTGTGTTCCATACACCTTGTACGTTCTGGAGTTCTCTGAAAGAAACAAGTTTTTAATACCCGAAAAGGCATTCAGGAAGGAAAAATTGAATGAGTCACTGTGGTGTGCCAAGAAGTAGGAGAGTGAAAAAATAAGGAAATTTATTTAGGATGGCTTCTCCTAGCTGTATGCAGATTACTGCTTTACGTAAACCACCATTATATTTAGGCCAATCTGAATTGTGAACTTAGGGTTCAGTAGATCCCCTGTGGCTTTTTCTAAGCTCCCAGTTAAATGGGTCTTCACAGTTTATAAGCTCAAGATGAGGACTCCACCTCCCACAGTGACGTCTCCAGTTTGTCAGACTAGCTAAAAACAATCAGTAAAGGTAGTTGATTTTGGCAGAAAAAAAAAAAAAAGGAAAGAAAATTCAAGCAGCCATTTAATTTCCTGTCCATTTGAAAATTCCTTCTGAGGGAAGTGGTAGCATTTCTTTTATCAAGAAGTCTGATGCTGGCTCCAAAGTAAATGTAGACAACAAGGGACTATGTTGGCATTGGGCCAAGTTACAGTAAGAATAAATGTATTTTTCTCAGGAAACAAAGTTGTCCTTTTTCTAAGGTGAATGGCTCTTAATGGTCCATTGTAAGCTCTTAAAAATGCCCCTAAACTGTAGAAATCTGAGTCAAGGGAGATAAGTAGCTTAATCCCAAGAGGTAGGAATGTATTCAGACCCATTTGTCTGGTCTAGTTCTAAGCTTCTTTAGGGAAGGATTTGCGCCTTTTCTCTGTAGAAATTCTATGACTGGCAAAGTGATTCACTGATCACTGTTTCCCCTAACCTGAGTCTGGCAGGATATAGCAGTTTGTGTAGCACTTTGGAAATTTGAAATATCTGTAGTTTGGTGTTAACAGCTCATTGATGTTGACTGATTCCAAGTTGGGTACTGTTTTATTCAGCCAGCAGGTATGTTTAGCACCTGCCCTCCTGCTCCCCACAACTGCAGTGTATGATATGATAGGATGCTTAAATTTGAGGCTCACCAGTAGTCATGGACCAGATCTTTTAGTGTTCTTGTTACGCGCTGTATCCTGCTACGTACCAGAGAATCAGATGAATGAGTAGGATTGCCTGTTAGGGATTCCTGCTGTATAAAGGTTTATACTCACCCTTTGTTGGTTATTGGGAAGCAGATCACTGATTCTGGAGAGGCATCTGCACAAAACAAATTTGTCTTCTTTCCTGGAGGGAGAATGGTGGTGCCCTGAGGTGCAAAGTGTTTTTCTTTTCCTTTTTTTTTTAATTTAAAAAAATTGCTTTTTTAAAAGTTTCCCATTTCTGAATGTTTGTTCCAAGGATGTTGGTAATATAGTAGGAAAAGGCAGAGTGGAGGTGAGGTACTTCTGTTAAAGGACTGTGGCATTAAACAAAAGGAATATAGGGGAAAGGAAAAGTTTTCCTGTTGAATAATTAAATTCTAGTCAAACAAAATGGGGCTTTCAGCATTTGTTAGGAGTCACATAAAAAATATTTAGGATGTTTTCTCTTTTTTTTTTTGGACAGAAACTTACAGGAACGTCTAATATGTAAAAA